CAGGACCAAACTGTTTTAACAATCAATGGCGTTTTGATTGGTTTTGCTTACGTACCTTTAGCGTTCACTACAGAGTTGGGTTGATGTGAGATGAGGCATTTGTTGACAATTACAATTACCTAACTTTTACAACACATTTTCATGGCAATATTATAGAGTTACTGTTAGGGTTTCAGATTGCAGAATAATGAAGATGAAACAGAAGGAAACAAGTGTTAAAACTGTTGTATATGCAAATGGAAGAAGTAAGTATATAATTTGTTTTAATGGAGTTTGGATTAGAGGTCAAATCAAGAAGAAGAAAAAGCTTGGGAACACGTAACCCTACTGAGGACAGGGACGTCCTCATCCTCTCTCTCTCTCTCTCTCTCCTCTTTCACACTCAGTCTGAGACAGATGTTCAAAAATCTCTTTCTTATCTCTTCTCTAGTGTTTGTATGCTTATAAATAAATAAAATAATAATAAAATAAAACAATGGATGGATTATGACTTCTGAGAGCCGTGAAGATTCTGAAAGGCTGCGTGACTCTACTCCACTCCCTCCTCTCTTTCCTTCTCTCAATTTGACCGTTTCCCCATTATTTGTGCCTTTCCTTTTTTTTTTTTTTTAATTTGATTATCAAAAAAAAAAAAAAGGATATAATTCAATTATTGTTGAGGGTTGCTGTTTCTCTTTAAAACATCAAACCATATGAGTCTGTGGTGACGTTTCCAACGTCTAAAACCCACACTTGCTGCTGATTTGTCCTTTTATCAAGTGCTTACCATGAAACTCATCGCCTCATAACTTGCCACGTACCCTCTGTTCACTATTCTAAACTTGACACGTTTCACTGTGATGTGATGGTATTTATCTATCGGCTGTGTGTCGATTTCAAGAAAAATAACGTGACACCAATTAATATCAATATTAATCTCAAGAAAAATGTAGTGGGATATGCCGAAATGGTGGTACAGGTAACTGGTGGGTGCGTGCGACTATATACTAAATAATGGACACCCCTTTATTCTTTCTTTTTATAATAATAATAATTTAATAAATATACATAAAGAAAAAGTAAATGACTCGATTCGGCATCTAAGATATTACATAAATACCATTAAATTAATATCATGCTTCGGATGAGTAGATAAGGTTTAGGTTTGGTATCATTGATGTCGTCATTCTTCATTAATTAATTAATTTACTTAATTATTTTTAAAGACTAATATTAAGACCGTTGAATTTATTAATTCGCTTTCCTGTACGGTGATAGAAGTGCACACGTGTAAGTAGCAGGATTCCACGCATAAATTGATAAATACAAGTGCATGTGAGACTTAGAATAAAGCAAAACCACACAACTGACACCGTTTGTCCTAGGAGACTGTAACAAGTGCAAATCGGCAAATCCCATTCATTTAATTAGATTATACCAGATAATTAAAAGAGTTAACGACTTTTCCGAATAGTGGTTTAACAATAATTTTTAATCTAGCTAATTTTTAAAATATTATTTTATTATTTAAATTTATATACAATTAGTAAACAGAAAGCAAATTTGATTTAGACTATTAGGGTTTATTAAGAGGAGAGGTTGGTAAGTTTTTTGTTGATAAAATATTGGATTTTGATGGTTGGGATTGATCGAAATTTGACTTGAGAGAGTTGTGAGATATGGTTCATAGTTTGCATAGTCTTAACCCTTACGCAGACGCATTCGGGGGTCTCACTCCCTAGTGAATGAGCAGAAGAGAGGGGGCAACACCCCCTTTACGATAAGTCCAATTAGTAATTGAATTTGTTATTGTTTTACTAATATTTGGGCCTGAGTCGGGTTAGATTCAGATAGGTCCAAATAAGGTAGGGTTTTTCTATTATATAATATAGTAGTGAGAAACTTAAGATTACAAAAAAAATATAAAGAGTGAGCTGTTGTCATTAGATTGTAATTGCTACAGTGTTCTAAAACTTAATTAAAAAAAATCCATTTGAATGTTGGACTTAGTTCTTTAATCGGAACGAACTAGGGTAAACCAAGTATCATTTATTTACTTTTCTGTTTATTTGATTGCGCGTGTTTGGCTGGTGTTTCAACAAGGGGTGGTTGCAAAAACCCTACTTACTCAATTGTCGGCGATTGATGGGGTCGGCAGGAATAGAGTTTGAGAGATTTTGGTGAGTGATAATCGAGGAAGAGAATGGTGGTGGTGTGAGGTCACAATAATGCCGGAATAAGAAACGAAATATAAATTTGGATAGTAAAATGATATTTTAAAAGTCTGTAGGTGGGAAAGTGTCATTAAGCCATTATTTGAGTGGAAAAAAGTTGTTTACTCTAATTAAAAACATCAAATTTGTTAATTAATTATCAAAATGCACGTATGAATCCTATATAACAAGTTCCTCATTAATCACCATCACAAATGAATACAGATGGATTACTGAGATTCATTAATTAATTACGTTCATACTATATATGGTTTAATTATAGTTGATTACTGATTAGTTGTAATTATCATAACCCCAATTTATATACAGGGAATCGTATCAAATCAAGGGACAATCAACAACCGAAATGTAAATTAATTTGTGTTGGTGACACAGCAGCAGGCAGCTATATATTGAATGAATTTTGACCGACCTATTTATCAAACTACACCTAACTACATCTTTCAAAGCTTCAATGACGCAACCAACTGCACCTAAAGATCCTAATTTTAAAAAGATGAAGTTGCATATCTCTGTCAGTGTTATTAATTAGACGGCCTTTGAAACTAATATGAAATTGGTAAAATCATATTCCAAAGGGGTTTCTTGCTGTTGCTGGCGTCGTTGTTTACGTTACTGGTTGTGGTTGGGTCCTAATCCTATTTCCAGATTCTGACTGATACCAGTTTAACGATTCAAGTTTTACGAAAAGAAAATGTCAGAGGTTGAACCGATTACCCTACTAAAAAGTGATGGCGTACGTATACCTGACCCATTTTGAATTCAAAGCCTGACTTTTTTTTCTTTTGTCAATATTTAATATTAATATTTGTATAAAGTTTTTCAGTTTCTGGTTTTAAATTGACTGCGTTTCATCAATGTCATGGTATTTGTGGATTAGCTGAATTGGGTCCTTAATTATAATGCAATTATGTGTGATGGTGGCCAAACAAAACCATTTTCTCATTCCATTATTGCATTGATTCAACTTTATAATGTATCAAAACTGCAAGGAATATTATGTGTCGGGATAGGAAGAACAAGATTGAAGCAAATCTTGTAATTGATTTGGTTGATATTATTATAAAGCATGTCAGTCATTAAAGAGGGAAGGAGAGGGACTCAGGAGGAAGGAGATATGCAGATGCAGTAGCAACAAATAAACAGAAATCAGAAATAAAATGCATGTTTGACGCCGACAGATCTGACAATTATAAGCTTAATTAGGTGAATTCAAAACAAAAGGCCAATCTTTTAACAGAAACTCACATGCTTCCATTGACTTCATTTTATTTATGTTTTATGTGAATTTCTTTCTCAAACCCGCTGGTTTTGTGCCAACCATTTTGTTTGATTCTGTCTCCTTCATCTGATTATGCATTCCTTTGTTTGTTTGCTAAAAAATAAATATGACCGTGTGGAATCTGGGTATAAATGTATAATTATCATTATATATAATTATTAAAGAAATAGACCTATTTAATATGACCAGAGTAGAACCATGTAATATCTGAAAATTAAAGTGTCAATGTATTGACAAATTAAGTATGCCTATCAAATTGAATTGTTCATTCTATTGTCACTATCCAGGGGTTCGGACCAGCTTGTTTGCACCTCAACTAATCGTCTAAGGCTTTAGAATTGTCGGCAGGGCAAAAGCTCTAGTGATCACCCCTATCAGTGAATTATGTGTATATGTTATTGGGTGCGTTTGGTTTATTATTTCATATCCTATTCCCAATCCTATTATCAAAATAACCGTCTGTTTCATTATTTAGAAAATATTATTATATTATATTTACTTACTTTTAGACCCTTTAAGTTTATTAATTTAATTAAACACCCCTAGAAAAAGTTTAAAAATTAACAAAAACACCCTCACCATTCATAGTTGTCAGATTTCGGAAACCACCATCGGTGGTAGCTAGAATCTGTCACAACAGCGTACAAACAACCAGAACTGGCCGGTAATTTACCGATATAGCATTTTCTGGCTAGATCCACAATGGATCTGGTCGGAAAAGGCTGACGGCTAGATCTGGCATTTTCCAGCCATCGACTGCCAGATCTGGCCGTTTCCAGCCAGATCCGTGTTGGATCTGGTCGAAAAAGGTCGAATCGATGCATGACCAGCCAGATCCGACCGGTTTGCATCATAACGCCAAATTCCGGCAGTGGTAGTCGGAATCTGGCACTGTGGGTGGGTGAGAGTATTTTTGTCATTTTACAAAAATTTTATGTATTAGGGTGTTTAGTAAAATTAGCAAACCTAAGATATTTTTTATTAATTTTTAAATTTTACCTTGTAATAATCACTCTACTCAATTATTCAATACTATTTCTAAAATAACAAACCAAAGGGATCCATTGATTATAATTTATAACAACAAAATAGTAAATATTAAATAATTAAATATAACTTGAAAGAAGTAACTCAAAAATGGGTTACTTAAATTATAAGAAGAAGTCTTAAATTGTGTGACTGTAAGTGAGTCAAGAACAGCCGAAGTTATGGTAAGTTTGTACGGTTAGGAACGGCAGTAAAAGAAGACTACAAAAGTACAAATTGAAAGTTGGAATGGTTTGTACTTGTTCCGCAAGTTCCCTACAAAATCAAACGACTTGTAGTACCACAGTTTTGATGTGCTGCTGTGCCGCGTTCCGCGTCATCGCTGAGCGTTTTTAGATTTGACTTACCACCATTCTGTAAATCTCAATACATTGCCCACCATAAAAGTCAATAGCTGTCAGCCATGTATTTTAAGATTAATTCCTCTAAGGAAACTTCCTATTTCCTATATATATTCGACCCATTTCCCCCCACGTCTCTATATTCTCCATTCTCTCATTCATCAACCGCCATAACATTTCATCGCATTTTCTTCTTCTTAATTTCTCTCTGCTCATTTCGTCTTGTCTGAAACTGGAAGGAATATGGGTGCTTGTTTCTCTTTAGTCAGGAGTGAGTATGAATCCGAATCTGAAAGACCCACAACAGCCAGTGTTGTGTCTTTAAGGGGTGATCTTCTTCAATATAAAGTTCCGATCTCGGTTTCTCAAGTCCTCCAGGCTGACCCCACGGCTTCTAACTGTTTTCTCTGCAATTCTGATAGTTTGTTGTACGATGAACACATTCCGGCTTTAGATTTGGATGAAGAACTTCAGGCTAATCAGATTTACTTTGTTCTTTCTAACTCTAAGCTTCAATACAAGTTGTCTGCATCAGATATGGCTGCTTTGGCTGTGAAAGCTAGCGTTGCTCTTCAAAGTGGGTCTAAAAAGAAACGCCATCGTCGTAAAAAGTCTCAAATTTCTCCTGTTTTACCCGCCAATCAAGCCACTAGTGTTTACAAATTAGATGGTACAGTAACTAAAATAATGAGCTTTGATAATAAGCCAGCTGCTGTACCTGATAGTATTCGTATGTCAAGATCTGGTTCTGTTAGAAAATTACAAAGATACACTTCTAGACGAGCTAAATGGGCTGTTCGTTCTTTTAGGCTGAGGCTAGCCACCATTTATGAAGGGAGCGTTGCCTAGAAATTTTTTGTTTTCTCTTCTTCATGTTAAATTTATTCCTTTTTTTTTTTTCAACCTTTTGTAACTTCATATTATCCCTGTATAAAAGAAAACAGAGATCGGATTTAGTTGTAAGCTTCAACTTTAATTCAATCGTCCATACAAATATATATGGATTCCCTAGTTAATTCTTTACCCTTGTTTTAATGCTTTATATTTTTCATGTGCATGCATATGGAGAAGTAATTCATATATGCTGTTTCCTTTTTTATTCTTAAGCAATTCATAAGAGAAGGTTCAAATCATAAAAACCAGGGCGCACTTAGTTTTGGGAGAACAAATACAAATGGTTTATATACAAACCTGTATGAAAAGAGAACACCACTGTGTGAAAACCAGAGATATGACATTAATGGCAGACAAACCACGGCGTGTATATTTTTTTCATAAAATTCTACGCGATTAAGTTCAACTGTTCTAGTTCACATACGAATACAATTCTATTCTCACGTACTTTGTCTTTGTCTTGCTATACTATCTTCAAACTTAGTTTGGTCGGCTTTTGTCTTTATCTAAAACTGTATTTTTCAAAGTATCGAGTTGCAGACTTTCCTTCATTGATCCAGCATCTAATTAATCTTGACAGCTAGCTATATTCTGTGAAACTTAAAAATTAATCCTGTGTGCGGAAGAAATACTCTATTTGTTTTGTTCCCCACTACAAAAGAAGAAGCTACTTTAGTACATAGACTTGCATTTTCTATTCTCTTGTTGAATTAATAAGTACCGAACTTGATTAATTATAAAGCCACTAATGTCAAATTGCTTACACCTAATTATTACTCTAATCACTAAACGATAAGCCTACGAAGCAATAGTACATAATGTCAAAGCTCCGTACCCATTTGATGAGCATAAAGATATGCAAGTAGACGGCCATTGTGAACCCAATGACTCAAAAGTCAAGCCCGTTTTGATTCCGATACTCTTGGTCTAAAACAATATTGGTTTTGATAATCAAAGTCAATCCCTGCATTAATAAGAGAGAGATATTACTTGCTTTATCTCGTTTATTGTTATCCACAATGACACCAATTGGGTTACGTTGCAATCTCTGATTGGACCTCTTAATTTTTTTTGTTACTTGTTAGTTGTAAATTTACGTATTCCGGATAATAAAGGGTTGTTCATTATCCTGATATTTGTAGAATAATATTTTTTTTAAAGTTAAATTGGATGACTATTATAAGATGGGATTTGGAAATTAAAAAAATATCTTCTATATTTATTTATTAAATATTCTTATAATAAAACATTAAAAATTAATAAAAGTATCTACAATCTATCCATTAAATACGAACAGTCGGCTACAACCATCGGAGGGTGGTCAAAGTCACTGTATTGACGTATGATTAGTTGGATCTAGCCAGTTGTATACCGATATGACCCTTTTCAGCTAGATCCATCGTGGATTTGACCAGAAAATAGATCTGACCATTGATGGCCAGATCTGGCGACATTTGGTTTGTTGATGGTCAACGACGACCATATCTTGGTCGTCGTTGACGATTAGCTACAGCTAAAGATCTAGCCTTTTTCGGTTAAATCTACCTTGGATCTCGTCGAAAAATACTAGATCAGTGCACCAACGACCAGATTCAGTCGGTAGTGAGTCATTGTACCAGATTCAGGCCAGCTTCCCGCAGTGGTGGTTGGAATCTGGTAAATGTGGGTTGTTGAGGTGTTTTTATCAATTTCTAAAATTTTTTTTGAGGGTGTTTAGTTAAATTAACAAATTTAGGGGGATTTAAAAGAAATTGAATAATATGGAATAATATTTTGAGAGTAAACCAATTTTACCTCTTTAAATTTTTTGGGAAAACTAGAATAGTATTTGAAATTGTTGTACCAAACAGCAAAGACTTTGTTTTTATACCTTGATTGATTCTTCGATAGTGATTTTGATATTAATAAAATTTATCATATTGTATAAGTGACTACGGAAGGCCTTAATATAATTAATTTCTCTCTGTGAGATGCATGAAACATGGGATTAGAGTTATCAATATTTCAATAGAGTGATGATAATGATATGTTTGACAATAAAAAAAAAAAACCCACAAAAGAATAAGATCACTTGGTTGTTATACAACAAAATCCCATATAATTGGACAGTTTTCTCGTGAATTTCTCAACAACAACGTGAAACTAAAGTTATTTGGGTCAAACTTTGGACATATTCTCCAACTGATGTCATGTTGTAAAGTTGTAAACAAGTCCAACACACGTGTTATGTGTTTGACAAGTTTCCCCTGAGACGAGAGTCCCAAACCGGCCTAGTTTGCTAGTGGCCCAACTGAAGCTAACCGGATTTGTTAGCCTCTTCAATTGGACCTTACTAGAATAGTATGGAAATTCTAGAAGGGCCCATATTTCTTAAGAAATTTGTGGTATTAATTAAAGATAATATTACGCTGACAAATCATTTTCACTAACTTTTTCTTATAAACGTAACGTGGTAACTAGTACTTGATCAGCTCGTAATAGGTTTCGTCAACCCAATAATGGATCTTCCCTAACTAATTACGAACTGACTAATTACTCATTATATACCATGTTGCGTTTGTGAGAGAAAGTTAATGGGAAAAGTTTTTTTATTAGTGAGAAGTATTTATCATACTATTTTTATTAATTAATTAAAAGTATTGATGTGTGATTAGGGTACATAAGTGATTGGGGTTAGTATTAAAAGTCAAAAAGCTAATTAGTTTGTTACAATTGAATGAAGCCAAGTAGCTTAAAGCTGAAATGAAAGGGGTGAATGCCCCCACAGGTTTGCCACTAATTGATAGTTAATACGTGATATGTTGTGAAACCTCAAACTTTAACAGCAGAAACTGTGCTTGTCTCCCCCAAATTGTTGTGTGAAAATAACACACGTCCTTTTTCATTACCAGTAATATCTACTTGTGTTTTTCTGTCATTTTAATGGTATCTTGTCATAAATTTATAGCCTGGCAATTGCCATTAGCTTTACCTATCGAAAAACAAAAAGATCGTAAGCTTACGTGCTATCTCAACTGTCATCCATTTGCATTCACAGACAAACCAAACTTATCTTCATCCTTCAAATTATTGATCATCACTGCAACAACATGAACGTAGAAAGAGATAATTAAGAATTAGTTAACCAATAACTTAAATGTCCACTAATCATGAGACACATGCACAAAGATCAATCAGATAGCTTAACTTGATTGGGTCCTAATTATAATGCAATTATGTGTGATGGTGGCCAAACAAAACCATTTTCTCATTCCATTATTGCATTGATTCAACTTTATAAAGTATCAAAACTGCAAGGAATATTATGTGTGGGATAGGAAGAACAAGATTGAAGCAAACTTGTAATTGATTTGGTTGATATTATTATAAGCATGTCAGTCATTAAAGGGGAGGAGAGGGACTCAGGAGGAAGGAGATATGCAGATGCAGTAGCAACAAATAAACAGAATCAGAAAAAAATGCATTTTGACGCCGACAGATCTGACAATTATAAGCTTAATTAGGTGAATTCAAAACAAAAGGCCAATCTTTTAACAGAAACTCACATGCTTCCATTGACTTCATTTATTTATGTTTTTATTGAATTTCTTTCTCAAACCGTGGTTTTGTGCCAACCATTTGTTTGATTCTGTCTCCTTCATCGATTATGCATTCCTTGTTTTGCCTAAAAAAAAAATGACCGTGTGGAATCTGGGTATAAATGTATAATTATCATTATATTAATTATTAAAGAATAGACCTATTAATATGACGATAGAATTAATATCTGAAAATTAAGTCAATGTATGACAAATTAAGTATGCCTATCAAATTGAATTGTTCATTCTATTGTCCTATCCAGGGTTCGGACCACTTGTATGCACCTCAACTAACGTCTCTAGGCTTAAATGTGGAGGGAAAACTCTAGTGATCACCCTATCAGTGAATTATGTGTATATGTTTTGGGGTGTTGGTTTATTATTTTATATCATATTCCCAATCCTATTCAAAAAACGTGTTTCATATTTGAAAATAATTATATTATATTATACTTTTAGACCCTTTAAGTTATTAATTTAATTAAACCACCCAGAAAAAAGTTTAAAAATAACAAAAACACCCTACCTTCATGTTGCAGATTCGGAAACCACATCGGTGGTAGCTGAATCTGTCACAAACAGCGTACAAACAACCAGAACTGGCCGGTAATTTACCGATTGCATTTTCTGGAGATCCACAATGGACTTGGCCGGAAAAGGCTGACGGCTAGATATGGCATTTACAGCCATCGACGCCAGATTGGCCGTTCCAGCCAGATCCGTGTGGATTGGTGGAAAAGGTCGAATTCAATCAGCAGACCAGCCAGATCGACGGTTTGCTATAACGCCAAATTCCGCAGTGGTGTCGGAATCTGGCACTGTGGGTGGGTGGGTTTTTTGTATTTTCAAAAAATTTTATGTATAGTAGGGTGTTTAGTTAAAATTAGCAAACCTAAGTTTTTTATTAATTTTTAAATTTTCTGTAATAATCACTCTATTCAATATCAATATATTATCTAAAATAACAAACCAAAAGGACCATTGATTATTATAAACAAAAAAAGTAAATATAATAATATAATGAAAGAAGTAACTCAAAAATGGGTTACTTAAATTATAGAAGAAGTTTAATTGTGTGACTGTAAGTGAGTCAAGAACAGCCGAAGTTATGGTAAGTTTGTACGGTTAGGAACGGCAGTAAAAGAAGACTACAAAAGTACAATTGAAAGTTGGAAGGTTTGTACTTGTTCCGCAAGTTCCCTACAAAATCAAACGACTTGTAGTACCACAGTTTTGATGTGCTGCTGGCCGCGTTTCGCGTCATCGCTGAGCGTTTTTAGATTTGACTTACCACCTTCTGTAAATCTCAATCATTGCCCACCAATAAAAGTCAATAGCTGTCAGCCATGTATTTTAAGATTAATTCCTCTCGAAAATTCCTATTTCCTATATATATTGACCATTTCCCCCACGTCTCTATATTCTCCATTCTCTCTTCATCAACCGCCATAACATTTATCATTTTCTTCTTCTTAATTCTCTGCTCATTTGTCTTGTCTGAAACGGAAGGAATATGGTGCTTGTTTCTCTTTAGTCAGAGAGGAGTAGAATCCGAA